ATACATTTGTCCTACATAAATAGTACCATGCTTTGTGAAAGCCAATAGGTTACCAATTAATTCTGTCACTCTCTTTGACAGGGAAAAGGATGGAAGGTACTGCATTAATGTCAGGTCTGCCAGGTATAATCATAGTGAACCAAAGGAGACTGCAGACTTGAAGCCCTACTCTCAAGGGACAGGGATGAATTTTTGAAGATAAGGCCTGAAGTGCACACCTCAGAGGAAGCCGCCAGTGTATCAAAATTTAGTTTAATCCTGTCACAAGTTGGGGGTATGTCCACCTAAAAATGAATTTACTGAAAGAGAGAGGGAAGGAAGAAGAAAACTTCAATGGCAAGTAGATACTACAGGTCATAATAGTTTGTTCTAATATGAAGCAAAAGAAAATATGCCTGCACCAGAAGTCAAGGAAGCAAAAATATGGAGTAAAAATCTGGAGAAAATCTTGTATTTGGGAAAAAATCACAAATCTGATAGAAAGAGGACTGAAATTACTTCAGCTGAATGGTACTGTAACTGAAAAGATATGTAATTTATAAGTTAGACTGTTGGCTCTGTATATCGAGTGCATTATTTGAGAAGGGCAAATGACAACAACTAAAGCTGACAAATCTTTTTAAATACCTGTCTGGGATAAATGTTGTTGAAGAACTACAAATGGCCTCAGACATGTTTAAAGTCCAAACCTCTTGAACCAGAGTAGTCAGGGAGTCCATTGGGAAAATACACTGTCAGATTATCACAATAACACCCAAAATGTTACATGATTATTGATCAGAACAAGAAACATATGGCAATACTGCAGGTCTATTATATTTAGATCTCCAGCAACTCACTTGTAAAACTGTGAACTTGTCTTAAATAAGAATACAGTATAATTGACAGGGAAAAGAAAAATATTTTGGTTTAAGACAATATTAGAAAAAGAGAAAGAATCTAGGACTGCTTATAGCTAACATTTCAAGTAAGTCTTTTGCTTTTATAGACCAGGAGTTGGCAACCCCCAGCACGTGTGCCAAGCATGGCACAAGAGACCAATTTCCTCAGCATGCATTGGGGCCAAGGAGGCAGCAACTGTTTGCAGCCTCCCAGCCGGCTGCAACTAGCCCCAGCTCTGGGTAGCTGCTGTCAGCCGGGAGCTCAGGTTGCTCCCATGGAAGTCCTGCTGCAAGCAGCCTGGGCTCCGTGGCTATCAGCAGCTTCCCAGAACCTGGGTCAGCAGCAAAAATCTTCTGCCTCTCCACCCCAGCCCTGGTACCAGCTGCCTCCCAGCCCCAGCCCTGGGGAGACAGCACATACCAGCAATGCTCCCCTTGCCACTTCTGCAGAGAAGCATTGGAACCCAGCGCGGCACGGCACAGTGGAAGACACAGAAACCTGCCTGCTCCCAGCTCCCCACTGCCCTGCCACACTTCCCCTGCAGACAGGGGGCAGCAGCATGGGGCACAACCCTGCACTGCTGCCCATACTGCTCCCATGCACACAGGGGAAGTGTGGCAGGGCAGCAAGGAGCTTGGAGCAGGCAGCTTTCTGTGCCCCCTGCTGTACCATGCCAGATTCCAACACTGCTTTGCAGAAGTGGCAGTGAGAGCAGCACAGCAGGGAGCATTGCTGGTATGTGCTGCCTCCACAGAGCACGGAGCTGGGACAGAGAGCCAGCAGATGTTTGCAGCTGGCCCAGGATCTGGGTAGCTGCTGACAGCCACAGAGCTCTGGCTGGGGGGCAGGGGCTGTGGGTGGGGGGCAAGGGG